GATTTCCTTGAACTCTTTGTGTGATTCACAAATTGTTGTTTCGGGTCTGGGTGTTGTGTATTTGTAAACGCGCCCACGACACAGGAGAACACACTAGTTTGAGGCAACTTTAAAAAAATTGAGCTATGGCTATGGCGGGAGGGAGTGTCAAGGTAGTGTTCTCCTGCCCAGGCTTAGGCCACGGTACCTTATTATTAAAAACAGGTGATATCCTGGATAAACACAGAGAATGGATCAACATACCAGGGGTTGAAGCCCCGGGCACGCTACCATAGCAGCGGTAAGACCCCTCTTTGAGGAGTGGCTTGAGAGACGCCACGGCGTCCTCACCTTCCGCCTGACGCAGGTGCTTACCGGGCACGGCAGCTTCGGTAGTTTCCTGTTTCGGATTCAGCGGGAGGAAACGCCCGAGTGTCGTCATTGTGAGGACCACCTAGAGGATACGGTGGAGCATACGGTAGCGGTATGCCCTGCCTGGGCTGAGCACCGCCGTATCCTCAGGGAAGTGATCGGCGGCGGCGACCTCTCGCGCCCGGCCTTAGTCGAGGCCATGGTGCGGAGTGAGAGGAACTGGGACGCCGTCTCCTCCTTTTGTGAAGCAGTCATGCTCGCAAAGAGAGAGGCGGCCCGCGTGAGGGAGCAATCCTCCTTCTCACGCCCCAGCAGCCGCAACTGGCGACACTACGGGCGTCGGGGATCGAGGGACGATCTCCGGCCACCGTAAGTACGGGCCTGCGGTCGGCGAGTAAGGGCAGCTCGCCGCCCGACCAGAACCAGGCCCGAGCGTACGGCGCGTAGCGTTCCGCGCGCGCCTCAAAGAGCCAATAGACCACCACAGACGGGGCCCTAAAGGGCTGATGTTCAGCCGGGGTTGCGGGGTAAGCGCAATGAGGTACCGCGACCTCGGCACAGAGCAGGAGAAGGAACAGGGGGGTTTTTAGTCAGTAAGAGTCTGACACTCCCTCCTGCCCGGCCCTGGGCGGGAAAAGTCATTTGATGATTTTCCCCTCACAAAAAAAAAAAAAAAAAAAAAAAAGGGGTTGAAGCCTCAAGCCAAAGGGGAAAGCTAGTCTATACTAATATTATAAAGTGGTAATATTTGTAAGTTAGTATGTTTGTATGTAGGAGGTAATCTTTGGAACCGCTGGTCGGATTGCCAAAATTTCTTTCACTGATAGATAGCTACAATGTTCCTGAGTGCTATAGGCTATAAAACATCACGCTACGACTAAATGGAGTCGAGCAGCGGGTGAAACTGATACAGATTAGCTAGTACTTCATAAACTTACTGCAACATTTATCGATACACATTAAATATGTGTAAAAGGTAGCTTAAATGACCCGTCTAAGTAACTTTATTTCCAAAAAATGGATTTAAATAAAAACTACAAGAGAATTGAACAATGTCGATTTATTTTTAATAATAGTTTTAAAACCTACTATGACACAGTCATATTGCTTAACCTCATAAAAGACAATGGGTTGTAAACGTATCCATTTTCGGCTATTTCACATAGGGTTGATTTTTCAATAGTCAGATAAATGTTATCTGAGGAATAAAATTGTTGCTGTCACTGTCTTATACAAACATTGTGACGCGACAGCATCATAATTATTCCCCAGGTAACTTTTATCTAACCATTGAAAAATGAGCCTTTAGACTATTAGGCCCCCTTATTACAAAATAAAATTTATCTAGTGTAGGTTTAAACCATTGAGTCAGGTTTTGTATTTTGAACCTTATTTTCACCTACCTTCAATTTGAAAGGCAAAAACTGTCTCAATTATTTAGACTGACCTCTGAGTTTGTTTCGGCATTTCTTCTCAGAGTAGTCAGATAGGAAATGCCGGCTTCATCTAGTTTTTCACATATAATTTGACGTGTAAAAGTGCCGTTTTATGGCCTAGTTGCAAAAATAAATTAACTGTTTCATTGACTTGAGCTACGTTCTTTATAGTACAGTTCTTTATAATTTTCCAATGGACCGTGGGGCCATATTACTGCCTATGGTAAAAAAAAAATATGACCAGCATTAAGTCACAGTGGGGTCATCACATTTATTACACACATACGAACCCATAATTTAAAAAAAAAAAACAATGACCAATAAAAAATAGGTTCATAATGTAATTAAGTAATTAATTTACATTAATTTAAATACTAATTAGGATTTCACATTTATAATAAAATAAATTTGAGGTACAGACCCGGGAATGGGTAAAAAAAATGAGTGCTTTTCCATTGACGAGACATTTTTTTAATTTTAAGTTTTAAAAATCCCATATTATAGTCTATAACTAATATAATTATAAAGAGGTAAAATTTGTGATTTGTATATTTGTATGTAGTGGGTAATATTTGGAACCGCTGGTCGGATTTCCAAAATTCTTTCACTGATAGATAGCTACAATGTTCCTGAGTGCTATTAAAGGCTATAAATTGTACGTGTTTTAGTCGAGCTAAAAACGCTGCTGTTGACTTTTATACGCGTGCGTAGCCACGGGCGGAAGATAATTATTCATAATTCATAATCTATACTAATATTATAAAGAGGAAAAATTTGCAAGTTTGTATGTAGGGGGTAATCTTTGGAACCGCTGGTCGGATTGCCAAAATTCTTACACTGATAGATAGCTACAATGTTCCCGAGTGATAGGCTATAAAACATCATACTACGACTAAATGGAGCCGAGCAGCGGGTGAAACCGCGCAAGAGTAGCTAGTATAATATAAAACTGTAGAGTTTGCTTGTATGCGCGATCGCTGCTTCTGAGAATTAGTCTCGATAAGAATTGAATCTAGTCGAGTATTTTGATGTTGAACACATCACATCACATTGAGAAAGCCGTAATTGTCACTTAATTTACTTAACGTTAGTAATAAAGTAAAAAAAAACTGTCAACCAGTCAAATTCAATACTCATTTTAGGATGCTTAAGTGTGGGAGAGCCATGCTTAGGCACGAATGGGTCGGCTCGACCGGAGTGATACCACAGCCTCACAGAAAACCGACGTGAAATAACCAGAGTTGTGTTTCGCCGTGTGAGTGAGGTTACCGGAGGCCCAATCATTCCCCTTTCCCAAAATCTCCATATCCCTAATCCCCAAAAGGTCGACAACGCACTCGTAACTCCTCCGTCGTTGCGGGTGTCCATGGGCGGCGCTGATTGCTTACCATCAGGTAATCCGTTTGCTCGTTTGCCGACCTATTACATACAAAATGCAATGCTGATACTAAATTTCTGGCAGGCGAAAAGTTGCGTGGCGGCGCACAGTGGCGGCGGAAATAAAGAGGATAGGACTGTCCTGGTCCGAAATTAAGCACATAGCCCAAGATAGGTCCCAATGGAAAAATACTGTGGAAGCCCTCTGCCCCACCTAGGGGACATAGGAACTTAAGTCAGTCATGTGTTTCGTACCAGATGTTATGACGTGGTATTTAAGTGTCAAATAGCATACTTATAACTTGTAAATTGGTTAGAAAAATTAGCTTAACAAAATTATAGATATTGTTAAATCTATGAAAGAGAAAGTGTTATTATATTTTTACATTTCATTGAAGTCATAAATAAATCGAAATAATTTATTTAGTTAACACCCGGTTTATGAAAGTCTCGTCAACGCTAAAATTAAGTAATCTCCTGTTAAATCTCTTGTCAAGTCATCTGATTGGTTGTTGATAATTCAGTCAACCAATCAGATGACTTGACAAGAGATAAAATTGATTTTAACATTGATCGGCCTTTCCGAAACCGGGTGTAAATCTGTCGTTCAAATATGTTGTGTATCAATTTTAATATATAACCAAAAAGAAAAACAAAACAATATCATTCTGAATACGGTAGTTTACAACTAGTCAAGTTCAATACTTTTATCCAAATGTCAAAAACGATACTTTTCTTCAATGAAATTTGTATTAAACTTCAAGTTATGACGACATAGTATTTTTGAGTCAAATAGCTTATTCATTTCTTAAATATTAGCTAAAAAATATCGAAAATTTTGTGTTTAAAAGAATCGATTCATAAAAGTAAAGTTATTTTTCAATATTTTATTGTATTGAAACGTCGAATTAATTTATTTTTGACCTAGGAAACTACCCAATTCTAATGTATTGAGTGGAGTTTCTTGTTCGTTCTTCTCCATGGGAATCTACACTTTGGAACGAGCAAATAGCTTCACTAAAGGACAGGCTTGTCAAATCTGCCTTTATTGGTCTGATTGCCAAAATCCAAACTAATATTATAAATGCGAAAGTAACTCTGTCTGTCTGTCTTTTCTTCACGCCTAAACTACTGAACCTATTAGTGTGAAATTTGGTACAGACGTAGTTTGGAACTCGAGAAATGACATAGGATAGTTTTTATACCAAAAATCTACAGGAAGTCACTATTCCACGCGAACAAAGTCGCGGGTAAAATCTAGTTCTAAAATAAACTTAAAGACAACGCCTCGCCAATGAAAAAGCAACCTTTTACAATAAATTATAAAGCTGAAAATCAAGACAGCCGTTCGTTGGAAACAAATTTTCTTAACATTTAGCATCAAAATTTATTCATTCGTTATTCTATAATAATATATTACAATACACCATCATAATCCCAACCAGATACGTGCAGGTTCGATTCCTTTGGCAGGTTTAAGAGTACAATTTAAAAAAGTTACATGTATTTTCTATGATTATTTAGACACCACTGACATACAGTGAAGGCAAACATCGTGAGGAAACTTGGACTTATAATTTCTAATTATAAGTTTGAAATCTCTAATCCGCATTGAGCAAGCGTGGTGATTAATGCTCAAACCTTCTCCGTGTGAGAAGAGGCCTTTGTTCAGCAGTGGGCACTTATAGGTTGATTAGGTACAGAATCGAATCCACACAAGGAAACACAATAAATTACTATAGCAATTTTCACTTCACACGCACAGGTAAAAGTTTATATTATATAATATTGGTAAAATATGTTTGTCTGTCTGTGTTTAAAGCACTAACATCATACCATGTTCCGACCGTTGTCACCAGCTATCCTGTCGACGACCTGCAATAAAAAAATGATGTATTTAATGAGAATAAACTGTATAAATAACAAAATACTTTTATTTTATCAAGAATTACAACAACGCACGTTAATGTTACGGAGTAGAGAGAGTCTGTCAGAGAGAATAGATTACAATGGTCAAGTGTGAGCTGGTAAGAAAAGGCGCGAAATTCAAATTATTCAACAAAAAACCATAATTTTATCGTACAAAATCAACTCATCCAAACTAATATAATAAATTCGAAAGTAACTCTGTCTGTGTCTCTGTCTTTCCTTCACGTCTAAATTACTGAACCGATTTCTGTGACATTTGGTACAGACATAGTTTGGAACTCATGAAAGGACATAGGATAGTTTTTATATAAAAAATCTACAGGCAGGCACTAATAAACGCGATAAATATCATCAAAGATTAAGTGTGGGAGAGCCATGCTTCGGCACGAATGGGTCGGCTCGACCGGAGTGATACTACGGCCTCACAGAAAACCATCGTGAAACAACCACAGCGTTGTGTTTCGCCGTGTGAGTGAGGTTACCGGATGGCCTAATCTGCCTACCATAACTCACAGGAGGTCGGCAACGCAATTGTAGTAACTACTTTGGTATTACGATTGAATATAGGCGGCGCCGATCGCTTTTTGTGAGGTGTGTGTAGTCAGACGTCAGTGTCAGACTCTTACAACCCCCCTGTTCCTTCTCCTGCTCTGGGCCGAGGTCGCGGCACCTCATTGCGCTTACCCCTCCACCCCGGCTGAACATCAGCCCTATAGGGCCCCGTCTGTGGTGGTCTATTGGCTCTTTGAGGCGCGCGCGGAACGCTACGCGCCGTACGCTCGGGTCCGGTTCTGGTCGGGCGGCGAGCTACCCTTACTCGCCGTCCGCAGACCCGTCAGGTAACCTGTACTTTAAAAATTAGCCCATTCCTTCTCCTGTTCCGGGGCGAAATAGCGATACCTTATTACCCTTACAGATCTAAGTTATTTGAACACTCACCCCTCTTATGATCGGTAGGTTAAGCAGAGATCCTAGGACGGGCACCATCCTTAAGAAGTTCACAGCTGCTGGCAGGAATCCTCTGTGGAAAAAAGGACAAGGAAAATTTATTATTATTATAACGACTTTTTTTTGTGAGGGGAAAATCATCAAATAACTTCTCCCACCCAGGGCTGGGCGGGAGGGAGTGTCAGACTCTTACTGACTAAAAACCCCCCTGTTCCTTCTCCTGCTCTGGGCCGAGGTCGTGGTGCCTCATTGTGCCTACCCCGCAACCCCGGCTGAACATCAGCCCTTCAGGGCCCCGTCTGTAGTGGTCTATTTGACTGCACGGTTGGTGCGGTGGTTGGGCAACTGGCTGCCGTGCAACGTGTCGCAGGTTCTATTCTCGCACGGAACAACTTTTTGTGTGATCCACAAATTGTTGTTCCGGGTCTGGGTGTGATGTGTATGTGATTTCCGAACACGTATTAAAGTAACGTATCCCTGTATTTTAAATACGCAAATCAAGTAGGTATCATTTATAGCTTATAGCACTCAGGAACATTGTGGCTATCTATAAGTAAAAGAATTTGAAAATCCATTCAGCGGTTCCAAAGATTAACCCCTACATACGAACTTACAACCACATCTTTATAATATTCATCATCATTATCAGCCTATAAGTGCCCACTGCTGAGCAAAGGCCTCTTCTCATACGGAGAAGGTTAGAGCATTGATCACCACGCTTGCTCAATGCGGGTTGGCGATTTCAAACTTATAATTAGAAATTATAAGTCCAGGTTTCCTCACGATGTTTACCTTCACCGTATGTCAGTGGTGTCTAAATAATCATAGATAGTACATATAACTCGGAAAAAGTCACATTGGTACTTGCCAGGTTAGAAATATGCATTCTCAAGCATGAGAAGCGGGTTGCTTAACCTCCGGGCCACCACAACAGTTTAGTTTAGTTTATAATAATTAAATTGCTATTTAAATAATTAAATTGCCGTTCTGCAGTACTGGCCATTACATATCAAAATAGTTTTTGTTAAAGGCTAATTAATTTTGTTTTAAAAACATGGGATTCTTTTTCCAAAAGTAGTCATTTGTTTATTGATTAGTGTTACATTTTCATCGCATTTCAAATCAAAAAAATTGTTTAAATTTTTTCATGCAAAACGGTAATTCTTTGTTGTTTATTTTGAAAAAAAAAACGTTGCCCCACTTTAGGATTTTCTCCAGTGTTGTGGGTGCGTTTACAAACATACAATGTCACATACACATGACACCCAGACCCCAAACAACAATTTGTGGATTACACAAAGTGTTGTTCCGTGCGGGAATCGAATCCACGATACGTTGCACGGCAGCCAGTTGCCCAGCCACCGCACCAACCGTGCAGTCAAAAGTGCAATTTCATAGGTAAAGACCTATTATTAGTAAGTATAGAAAAACAGGGACATACCTGAATAGTAATAAGAATCCGTAGATCTCAGCGATCATGCCGATCATTGGCCATCCTAGTAACACGATAGTGATCCCTCCAAAGAAGGCGACAGAGGCCTTAATTTTATGCCTTTGAAAGAAGAAGAAAAACGTCCGCTGCAGGCCTATTACACACGCCAGACCACTGATGAAGAGGATCTGAGGAGTTTTAAAGAAGAATTTTAAGTTTTTTTTTGGTCAAATGTCATTGGTTAAGAACTAAAGTAGCATAAGGGTAAAATGACAAATCTGGATAGCCATGTGCTGCATTTTTAATGTGGGAGATGATGCCTGATATAATATGAGATATTGAACAAGATCTTTCATGATAAAGAATAGATCAAAAAAGGTAAAAAAGTCGACAGTCGAGTCGAGTAGTTTCCAACTAGTCAAATTCAATACTTTTATCCAAATGTCAAAAACGATACTTTTCTATGAAATTTGTATTAAAAACTGAGTTACGACGTCATAACAGTTTTGCGTCAAATAGCTTAGGTACTTATTTCTGAATAATGAGCTAAAAACATATAAAACTTAGTGTATCGATCGATCGATGAATAAAAGTATAGTTATTTTTAAATATTTTATTTATTTATTTATTTTTATTTATTTATTTAAATACGTTAGCCAACAATTATTACACATTTTCATTACTGTTAATAAAAGATATAACACATGTCCGAGTATAATAATCACTTATATACTAACACAGCATGCACAATAGTATTAGTTAACAATACATTATTTTTTAATTATAATAAAATAGTTTCAATTTTAGAAAAATAACAGTATTTTTTTTTAATTTATTGTATATTTTTATTGTATTGAAACGTTGAATTAATTTATTTTTGACCTAGGAAACTACCCAATTATGAACGTCAATCAAAAAAAAAATATTAAAATGTTTAATTTTATATGTCTGTCTGTCGGTGAGTCCTCTATTCAAACTATTTGCTCGTTACAAAGTGAAGACTCCTATGGGGAAGGAAATCTACATTCTTTTAAGTAGATATAACCAGTTTTTAGCTCATCGTTTAAATAATTTTCTTTTTAAACTTTGGTCTTAACTACTAGCGGGCATTTTGATGTTATCCAAACAATCCAAACTAATATTATAAAATGCGAAAGTAACTCTGTCTGTCTGTCTTTTCTTCACGCCTAAACTACTGAACCGATTTCAGTGAAATTTGGTACAGACATAGTTTGGAACTCGAGAAAGGACATAGAATAGTTTTTATATCAAAAATCTGCAAGAAGTCACTATTCCACGCGAACGAAGTTGCGGACAAAATCTCAATCTTAAATTTTGGTAACAAGCTGTCATAAGTTATCAAAATTATGTGCAAAGCCTCTAAAACTTACTACAAGATTCTACAACAGTAGGTAATATTACAACAAATTTGTAATTTACAACGATATTACAAAAAAACTTACATTTCCTATGGCGAGTAGACCTTTATCGAAGAGTAGGAGAACGCCTAAGAAGAGGAAGGTCATGCCGAAACCGGCAAGACCCACTCCGATTTCTGAAAAAGAAGAAGAAGAAAATTTTAGTTTTTACCCGACTACGGCAAAGTAAAAGGAGAGTTATGATTTTGACAGGCTATGTATGTATGTCTATCTGTTCCCTCATAACTTCTAAACTACTTATCAGAATTCGACAAATGACATATCATTAGAAACGTCTTAATTGGCCGCTGGTTATAGGCTATATGGGGTATCATCAAATCTAATGTGGCGTCCTGTATTCATGGGCTGATTGCATATAATTTACATCATTCATCATTTTAACGTTTGTTGATATTATGCGCCACACTTTAACACCAAAATAGTACAAGTAATAAAAAGTATAAAAACTAAAACCCAACTACGACAAAAAAAAAACGAAGCTGAAAAAGTATAAAACAAGATTTTCGGAATACTGAAAGGCGTAGTCACACGTTGTCAAAGTGGTAGGTAAATGTAACCTATTTCAGCGTCCTTTTTTGTCGTGGTTGTGAAGAGTTACTTCGGCATGGATGAGCCTGCTCGACCATAGAAAGACCACAGCAAAACCGAAAACCGGCGTGAAATAACCATAGCGTTGTCTTTCCCGTTATGCCTCATTTCCATTGAGCTGTAGTAGGCAGGATGAGTATGTAAACTTATACTTCTCATCCTTTCGTCAAAGGTCTCGTCGGCCATCAGCGCGTGTCATGCACGTCAGAGTCATGCAGTGAGAGCGGGTATGAACTCGTCACCTAAACAATCTTAAAACCGTGTTCTCCTAAAATCTATATTATTCTATATGTGGGAGAGCCATGCTTCGGCACGAATGGGTCGGCTCGACCGGATTGATAAGACAGCCTTACGAAAAAACTGGCGTGAGACAACCACAGCATTGTGTTAGCCCATGTTAGTGAAGCTATCAGAACCCTTTCCCTGACCCTATTCCTTTTCCATGCCTAAATCTCTGAAACCCTAATCGTGTTGCCATGTCTATGAGTGGCGAAAATTGCTTACCATCAGATAATCCTGCTCGTTTGTAACCTACCACATATAAAATGGATAAAAAAGTAATTTAATATTGTTACTGCATTCATTAAATATTATAGGAGATAACATAATCATAATTTAATTTAGTCATTGTTCTTATTAAGATTAAATTATCATAATGATAGTTGTTTACAAGTAGGAAAATAGAGAGATATTACACCTTAAAAAACTATGTTGCAGTGGACCGGAAGTCAAGGCAATGTGATTTTACCGAGTTTTATGTTTCAAAGTCAAATAATTTATATGCACTTTGAAAAGTGAAAATCAAATTATACATTGCAATTAAACCATTATTAAAAAGCGTCTTTAGGTTTTGAAAGCAAAAAGTATTTTAATGATTATTTAAACATTGAGAGCTAACACGATCTCACACAGTTTCACCCGCTGCTCGGCTCCATTTAATCCTAGTGTAATATTTTATAGCCTATAGCACTCAGGAACATTGTAGCTATCTATCAGTGAAAGAATTTTGGCAATCCGACCAGCGGTTCAAAAGATGACCCCTACATACAAACTTACAAATTTGACCTCTTTATAATATTAGTAAATAATTTATAGTAAATATAGATTGATTGAGGAAGGTTTTAGGCTATAAAACATCTCGCTACGATTAGTAGGTGCCGAGCAGCAACTGAAATCTCGCGACAGAAGCTAGTCTATGATAAAGCGCCTATTATAATGTAAAAGAGAGCCGAATTACTTTGCATTCCTGACAAAAATCTGTATCAATCCAGAGATGCTGGATTTAGAACAAATATTATTTACTGTGATCACACTAAATCATTAATACTGGATTAAGAACCAGAACAGAAAGAGATTAAGAAAGAGAAGTAAAGACAGTTCTATTTTATGCCTAGTTTACTACAAATGTTGATGGTACTATTGTTGCATTTAGTCATTTATTAGTAAAATAGAAAGGTTGTAAGACACGTAAACACTACGATACGTATTTAAGAAGATTCTGATATAATAGACCGACTTATTCGATTGAAAACGAACGCGTATGGGCGTCAAAACAAAACATAGTTTTCGTGACAAATTTTCGTAAATATAATTCCAAAATAAAACTTATTATTATCTAAAAATGTACAGGCAATATAGGACAGATATATAAATGATCAAATTGTAATTTTTAAGCAAAATTACATCAACAAACACAGATTTTCCAATGAAAGTCCATAATCCTAAGAATTATAACATAAAATTAAAAATACTCACTCTGTGTGTCTGTGATCTCGATCATTTTTGTGCTATTTGGCTACTTATCAATTAAATTAAGTGTTTAATCACTTTATTTATGTAAAACAGATATTTTTCAACAAATTCATAACCTCATCTCCACGTCATTTTAGCAATATCCAAACGTCACTATTTCTGACAGATTGTCATTTGACATTGACGTTCCAGTATTGAGTTGCCAGATTAAAATGTTTTATTAAAAATAATTATTTAATTCTGTTGAAGTGCAGGTTTTTTATACTTAACATTTACAAACAAATATATTAAGTCATGTGTTCTGATAAACATTCTCAGAATAATGAATATAATTAAATGTCACGTTTCACCTTTTAATACCCGGAAGGCTAAGCAGGAGAGCACATAAACATTAATGCCAATATTCGTTTTTCGTAATTTTATAACTATAGAATGTGCTCACCTATGAAAACTAAATCGTTAGGTTTCATATTTAGCAGCTAATAAATGTAAAATAGGTCAAGTTGGTCTACAATCGTTAACTGTAACTCTAATCGTTAAGGACGCAACAACTGCTTCAATGTTAAAAAAAGTATTGTAACATCCATATTATCATTAAAAAAAAATTATGGTGTGGGTTGCCTAGTTTATAGCAATTATGGCTGTACTGTCTAACTTTAGGAAAAAATGCGAGCGCTTGCCTAATGAGGTAGCGTTACTTAAGTTCTCAATGTAATTAAACTTCTATAAATAGTTTTATATTGTCAATAAGTAGCAGTTTTATTGATACCTATTAGTAGGTCAACAACTTATAAAATGGTTTAAGTATAGTGATGGACTGTAATGACTCTGTTTTGCAGACAAGGCCCATATAAGTTAACCAGCATGAACTAATGAACTTCCAAAATGAAATAATCATCAAATGATTTCTCCCGCCCTAAATGGAACGAGTGGCACCTGAGTGGCACGCTCAACCTCTTCTCGACTAAAAATCACTGGGTCCTTTTCCTTATTTTTATTTTTGAATTCATGAAATCAAATGTCCCGGGCGCCTTGGGTAGCCTCAAAACCACCTCACCCACATCTACAAAAGCTAGTTCTACTCGAAAATTGATGTTTCCGTATACTTGACGGATATAATAACACAAATGGCTTCCTCAAAACCTTGTCACGAACTGGTTTGGCAATCTTATCGTAAAGTCATTGACTTCTTTTTTATGATTCCTGATTAACGGAATGTCTTGTGTTTGATCATCATCGTCGAAGGCGCTAGGCACATTTCATCATTATACCCCAATGATATAGGTCAGTTGGAAGTGACCTGCGTCCTGCGTCCAGGTGTTCCGGGCGTCGGGGATCGCGTGACGGTCTTCAGGTCTTCAGCTAGCGTAAACATGAGTCTGCAGACGGCGAGTAAGGGTAGCTTGCCGCTTGACCAGAACCAGATCTGAACAAGTGGCTCATGGCCCTCGACACATCAGACTACATAAATGAGGCCCAAGAAGGCTGAGGTTCAGTCGGGATGATTTCTAAGCAGTAAGAGTCTGAGATTCCCTCTCGCTCCACCCAGGGCAGGGTAAGAAGGTATCTTTCAAGGAATATCCGAATTCTGACCGAACTTTTTACAACTGCATGTTCAAGGATTCAGATCAGCCACAGGATCTGGAAGAATAAGAAATTGGAACTCTATTGTCTGATTTATTCCATTCTAATACCAAAAACTAATACCACTGGTATTTGATTCAACTCTTATTTTTTTCTATTCCGAACGGATACCACTTTTTAAATAATTTAATTTCATGTACGAACGAATACCAACAACTTGAATTTGGTACAGTCAGCGCAGTAAACCTAATCAAAGTAAATTTGGTTTTCAATATTTTTATGTAATCGTAATATAATGCTTAAAACTTTCCGAATTCACTTCACTCCAATATTTTTATAAAGGTTAGCATAGGTAAGAGTAGTTTTAGTGAATCATCTTGCTATTTTTTTGTCTGCGTCAGCAGTGTCAATCTTCGGTTTTTTTATTGTTGTATTATAAGACATAACTTTGCAATATTTTTTTTTCTTATTGTTCATGCCAAATAAATTATTTTTCTTTCTTTCTTTCTCTTTCTTTCTTCGTCAACAAATTAAAATTCGAACGTAAAAAGAACAACACCGGTTTGGAAACCAGTGACCAATAAAAAAAAAATAGTAAAAACAATTAACTTAAGTATAATATTTATTTAAAAACTAGTTTCGTTGTAACATACTAGAATCGTTCGGCGACCTTCGAATTACCGAATTTTTTGCTTGATCCAATATTTACTTTTCATCACACGATCACGCTGGACATAGGTAAAATAAAATGGAGTTGGAGGAACCCCTTTTTTTGTCAGGGGAAAATCATCTAATGACTTCTCCCGTCCAGGGTAAGGCGAGAGAGAGTGTTTGACTCTTACTGACTAAAAACCTCCCCGTTCCTTCTCCTGCTCTGGACCGAGGTCGCGATGACTCATTGCGCTTGCCCCTCCACCCCGGCTGAACAACGGCCCTATAGGGCCCTGTCTGTGGTGGTCTATTGGCTCTTTGAGGCGCGCGCGGAACGCTACGCGCCGTACGCTCGGGTCTGGTTCTGGTTGGGCGGCGAGCTAGTTTGAAGAACCCTTCGTTTTGTTTTTTTTTTTTTTGTTTTTAAGGGGGAATATCATAAAGTATGCACTTATTACTTGAAAAACTTCAACTCTGAGTACAAGGCTATTTAGGTATTGGTTAATTAACCGCTTAGTCATCGTTTTTCTCACGAAAATCAAAGTCCAAGAGGATATTTTTTTCTTTGAAGTTTTTTTAGCAAACTATTAGTTGTTATTTGAGTGGAAAACTAAGTACAATATTGAGGCACGAGCAAACATTGGCTAATGATCATTAAAATTTGGATAACGGCAAAAAATAAGCTTGACAAGTTCATCTGATTAAAAATTGATGGTTCCGTACACTGTAGGTAGGTATATTGAACCATGCCATTGCTATTTTATTATTGTCATCCTTTGTAGTATGCTCCGTAAAGCGTTACCGTAGTACAGTTTAAATTTAAGCGTAGGAGAGCCATGCTTCGGCACGAATGAGTCGGCTCAACCGTAGTGATATGACGGCCTCACAGAAAACCAGCGTGAAACAACCACAGCGTTGAGTTTCACCGTGTGAGTGAGGTTACCGGAGGCCCAATCCTTCCCCTCTCCCAATCCCTAAATCTCCAAATCCCTAAAAGGTCGGCAACGCACTCTTAACTCCTCCGTTGCGCGTGTCCATGGGCGGCGTTAATTGCTTACCATCAGGTAATCCGTCTGCTCGTTTGCCAATCTATTACCTATATAAAAAAATAAATGTTTATTTTCTGGGTGACTAAAATAGCCCAGTTCTTTTTCTTGTTTCGAACCAGGATCATCGTGCAATGGTGCATTATTGCGCTTGACCCCAGCTAATAATCGGATCTATAGGACCCTATCAGTCTTTGGTGGTCTGGTGTCTCTTTGAGGCCTTCGTGTCTGGACCATATTTCCATTTTGAACAAGCCAATTAAAGATTTTCTCCTTTAAAAAAGGATATTAAAAGGGTTTTTTTTCTTAATTCATTATTTTATTGCGTACGCATGTGTTGTTACGTATTAAATTACCTATTCAGTCCAATTTACTATGGGTGTATTTTTAATGGTATAGAGGAAAATAAGAAGGAGGCGGAACGCGTGAGGGAACTATCCTCCTCACGCCTCAGCCGCCACAGTATGCGCCACTCCGGGCGAGCAACAGTACCGACTGAACCAGACTTCCTCAAAGAGCCAATAGACAACAACAGACGGGGCCCTATAGGGCTTATGTTCCGGGGTTGCGGGGTTAGATAAGCGCAATGAGTCACCGTAAACTCGGCTCAGAGCAGGAGAAGGAACGGGGGGGGGGGGGGGGGGGGGGGGGGTTTAGTCAGTAAAAGTCTGACACTCTCGCCTTACACTGGGCGGGAGAAGTCATTAGATGATTTTCCAAGGTTGCGAGACAAGGGGTTTTAGCTCCCGCAGCCTCGGCCTAAAGCAGGATAAGGAACGGGGTGGTATTTACTCAGTAAGAGTTTCACACTCCCTCTCGCCTCACCCATGGCAGGAGAAGTCATTTGATTATTGAGGCAAATAAGTATTTTGTGTGGGTCAGCGGTGAACAGTTATTTATTATTTAAGTCCAAGAATCTTTACGTCTGCTTACACACACATTAACTAAAATAACAAGTTTAAAATTGACCACATCACCGACTCTTTTGTGTGGTCGTGATTTCAGGAATGGTAAATATATTCTAGAATTTGAATTACTACTAAGTGCACAAATAGAACAGAGCGCCAACCCTGACGTGTTGAAGCGGGCTAGAAAGAGGGATGGAGCTTTACACCTTTCATAGCTCCATCCCTCTTTCTCGCTCGGAAAATTAGGGTAAACATGCATATAATTACAAAAAAAAATGTAATAAGTATAGCTTTATTTTTCAAGCGATAGGTCGGCAAACGAGCAGACGGATTACCTGATGGTAAGCAATCGGCACCGCCTATGGTCATCCGCAATGTCAGAGGTTTTACGAGAGCGTTGTTGGCCCGTTGGGGTTTCACCGTGTGAGTAAGGTAACCAGAGGCCTAAGCTTTACCCCCATCCCTCCTTGATTCCTAAATATTCAAACCCCCTTATCCCATAAGGTCAGCAACGTATTCGTAACTCTGATCGCTTATCATCAGTAATTTGTCTGCTCATTTGCCAACCTATGAAGGCAGCATAAAATATAATGACGAATTAACTTTTTTTACACACGGATCCCTAAAAACATATCGAAATATTTATTCTTTTATGAGCTGTTTGAGGTTTAGTTTCATTCAAAAACTGATCGGCCTTAGACGGTCGATTTGTTATTATAATAAATAAAATAAAACAAATGTGTTTCGTACATTAATTAGGTATTATTAAATAAGTTATTTATTAAACAATGTTTTGTTATAATTGTTATGTGAATTATTATTATTTTAGTGTTTTGTTTTTGTTATTTTGTGTGTTTACGTACTGTGACGAGTTGCCTGAAGGTTTGTTGATTATTATTAAGTTTATTAAGAGGTTGTTGTTCATCGGAGAGTACCTACCTAAAGCTCTCGCTTCTCATGCATAAGGGGTTTAATCCTGGCAAGTGCCAATGTGACTTTTATCGAGTAATATGTACTTTCTAAGATTATTTAGACATCACTAACATACGGTGAAGGAAAACATCGTGAGATTGACTTATAATTTCTAAGTTTAAAATCGCTAATGCGCATTGAGCAACCGTAGTGATTAATGCTCAAACCTTCTCCGTGTTCAAAGAGGCCTGACTCAGCAGTGGGCATTTATAGGCTGATGATGTGGTGTGTGTGAAAAAATCTACCTACCAGAGGCCGAGCCTACTAGGGCTGATGTCGAGCCGGGGTTGAGGGCTTGAAGGCAAGGCTCAACCAATTACCGCAGCCCGGCTTGATGCAAGTGATGTAACGGGGTGCTTTTATCAGGGATGTTAGGAAACCTTAACCGAGATTGTCGGATATCGGATATAAAAAATATATTCGAAACCGTAACCGAATCCGAAATAAAAGTTCTGTATAATATCGGATTAAGCATAATTGACGAGTTGACACGTTATGTTTGTCGCGCGCGCCTCAAAGAGCCAATAGACCACCACAGACGGGGCCCTATAGGGCTGATGTTCAGCCGGGGTTGCGGGGTAAGCGCATGAGGCACCGCGGCCTCGGTCAAGAGCAGGAGAAGGAACAGGGGGGTTTTTAGTCAGTAAGAGTCTGACCCTCCCTCCCGCCCGGCCCTGGGCGCAGATCTCATTTGATGATTTTCCTCTCACAAAAAAAAAAACGTAATGTTTGTAATTCCGTATCTATCCGAAATTATCCGAAACTAACGGATAATCTGAAATAATTTCAAATCCGTATTCGTAATCATATCCTGTATAATTATCGTTCCTATATCCTTATTCGAAATTTGAGTTTCGAAAGTCATTTCAAAATCATTTATTTCAATTAGTCACTAACAGGGACTTTTAAACGTGAAACAATTTTTTTAATTTTTTTGAGATAAAAAGTATCAATCTGTCGGTCAGTCCTCTAGTGAAGCTATTTGCTCGTTCCAAAGTGTAGATTCCTATGGAGAAGAACGAGCTACAAACTCCATGGTTACTCTTTTTATTTCAATTGTTTTGCTTGGTATCTATACACACATCTCTTATTAACAGGTTCAGAATGCGAGTCCGAAGATGGTTTAAAAGGAACCTGCACGGACATACATAAATGCATGCAGTTCGTCATGCCATTGAAGACCAGACAAAGTTATCCTCAGGTAAGGCTTTTACCAAACATCGTGAGGAAACCCCGACCTCATAATTTGGTGATAAATGCTCATACCTTCCCCATGTGAGAAGAGGCCTTTGCTCAACAGTGGATACCCATAGGCTGATGATCATCACCATTCGCACGCGTCTGTGGACGGCGAGTAAGGGTAGCTCGCCACCCGATCGGAACCAGACCACCAGAGCCAATAGACCACTCCAGACGGGGCCCTATAGGGCTGATGTTAACCCGGGGTTGCGGGGTAAGTGCAATGAGGCACCGCGACCTCGGCCCAGAGCTAGAGCAGGAACGGGGTTTTTCTTCAGTAAGAGTCTGATACTAAAGGCCGGAGAAGTCATTTGATGATTTTTCCCTCACAAAAAAAGGTACATAACGTGCCCCGGATCTGAGCCGAAGTAGGAACGGGGTGATTTTCAGTCAGCAAGTGTCTGACTTTCCCTCACACCCCATCCTGGGCAGGAGAAGAATGTTGCTGAATTATACTCCTCAAAAAAAGCGTTGTAACTTACCACATTGGTTTTCATATTAGGCTTTAGTATCACTCCAGTCCAACAATGCCGAAGTGGATGATTCTTGTCACAAAAGCACTTAAAAATCCAAACCCAAACCAATATTATAAATGTGAAAGTCACTCTGTCTGTCTGTCATTTCTTCACGCCTAAACTACTGAACCGATTTCTGTGAAATTTGGTACATACATCATCAGAAACTCGAAAAAGGACATAGGATAGTTTTTATACCAAAAATCTGCAGGTAGTCACTATTCCACGTGAACGGAGTCGCGGGCAGATCTTAATAATATTTTATGTTCCAGATATGTTCGTTTAATGGTCAGATTCCTGTTGTGTGCTGTACTGACTGCGAATATGTGAACAATACGGGGTAAGCATAATATGACACTCGGCACGAATGGGTCAGCTGGACCGGAGTGATACCACGGCCTTACAGAAAACCGGCGTGAAACAACCACAGCGTTGTATTTCGCCGTGTGAGTAAGGTTACCGGAGGCTTCCAATCTTTCCCTACCCCTACCCCAATCTTGATATCTGAAACCCAACTTAAACTGGTGTGGTTCTTTCCTCAAAAGACCACTGCAGAATGAACTAGCAAGATTCTCTCACATTATGTTATTTTACATTGTCTGGACTTGAAAAGAGACTGACCTCTGAGTTCGTTTTGGCATTTCTTCTCAGAGTAGTCAGATAGAAAATGCCGGCTTCATCTAGTTTTTCACATATAATTTGACGTGTAAAAGTGCCGTTTTATGGCCTATTTGCAAAAATAAATTCATTGTTTCATTGTTTCCAAATCCCTCAATAACGCGCAATGCACTCATAACTCTGTTGTACTTTGGCGGCGCCGATTGCTTACCATCAGGTTATCCGTCTGCTCGTTTGCCGACCTAGGTGCTTCATAACAAAAATTACAATATGGAATCTTTATCTTTCCAAACAGAGAAAAAATTGCATTTTGATTTTCTTGCACTTTTGATGAATAACTAAATCGTGTTTGTTATCAAAACTTTTTGGTTTGTCCGTCCAAATGTCCTACTCCTCCTTCCCCCCATCACCATACCCCAGAACCTCACCCATCAAATCCCTAACCTCCAAAGGAACAGGTAAAGCAAGTATAGCAGCTCACAGATAGGTCCCATTACAATTACAATACAAAATATTCCATGGTGTTTGGTGACTGGGCTTCTCCCAGTTGTACAGTCTCTTTTGTGCCCTAAAGGCTTAAATAACGTTATCTTCACCAAATTCAACGAGAGAAGTAACGTTTTTACTTCTCCTCAAATAATATCTTCTGATTTTTTTCGTTGCGGGATCCAAGACAGTCATTCATGTCCCTGGGACGCGGCGGACTTCAGTGTTCCGGTGTTTTCATGGTTGTGTCTACTGTAGAACCTGGTGCAAAGGAATTGCAGAGGTTTCTAAAGGATGTGCCGAGTTTGTCTGATTGCTTGCCATTAGATCAGATCCTCTTTTGTTTACGATCTTATCCCATAAAAACAAACTCATCCACACCACATCTTTTTTCTTACTAATATTATAAATGCGAAAGTTACGATGTTTGGATGTTTGTTACTCAATCACACCAAAACGGTTGAACGGATCTGGATGAAATTTGGCACAGGCGTAGCATACACTCCGAAATCAGGTTGATGTTATACACTGTACTTTTTCTAGATTTTAAGATATATTTTTTTGTAATCTACCTTTTTACAACAAATAAACATTATTATTATTATAAAAAATGTTTTCATAATTTCCAGCAACGTCCTGGTGGACAGGTTTGGATCGCATTTCTTCAAAACTGGAAATAAAGCGTATGATAGTAAGTATGTACCTCTTCTACTTGCCAATATTCTTTGATAAGAGATAAAGACAGATCTCCAGATTAATTAAAAATAACAACTTCATAGTAACTTCCTTCGTAGGTACAAATTTCCAATAATGAGGTTCCCAATACTGAGATAAGAACCTTAGTTTTAACCTGTTCTAATAATTACCGCCGCGAGACGGGGTGGACATCTGACTGAGCACCAACTTAGAGCAGCTTGGCGAGACTTAGTTTACCTCGAGACGAATGACCCCCTAAAAATAACGACTTACTTACGTGAATGAACTGAGGAATGCTCTACTAGTGTCTGTGAGTTGGCTTAGCGACGTCGCGCGTCGCCGCGACGCGCACGCCAATCATAAATTCCCGTTGTGATTTAAAACTAGTAGAACCTTTCTCAGTTAGTAATTCACGTGAGTAACACCCGGTTTCCGAAAGGCCGATCAATCTTAAAATCCATTTAATCTCTTGTCAAGTCATCTGATTGGTTGACTGAATTATCAACAACCAATCAGATGACTTGACAAGAGATTTAACAGGAGATTAGTTAAAATTAGTATGTCTTCCGAAAGTTACTATACAAAAAGTCACACGATATTTTAAATCACATGTTACCGTAGAAAACATGAACATGCGTGTCTATCTATACTTAATTACGATGGCCCGGAGTTTAAGGCGCCCGCTTATCATGCATTATGCGCCCTCATGCAATGGTCTTGGAAGGGTCCAGAATCTGGCAAGAACCAATGTGACATTTTTTGAGTCATAGGTACTTTCTATGATTATTTAGACACCACTGACATACGTTGAAGGAAAACATTGAAGAAACCTGGACTGATATTGTCAATCCGCTTTGAGCAACCGTGATGATTAATGTTTAAACCTTCACCGTATGAGAAGAGGCCTCTGCTTAGCGCTTATAGGCAGATGATGTGTTTGTGTGTGTCTTTAATTAATCTGCCAGAAGATAATCTACAAATTCTGTATATGTAATAGGTCGGCAAACGAGCATACGGATTACCTGATGGTAAGCAATCAGCGCCGCTCATGGACACTCGCAACGGAGGAGTTACGAGTGCGTTGCCGACCTTTTAGGGATTAGGGATTTGGAAGTTTAGGGATTGAGGAGGGATTGGGGGAGGGGAAGGATTAGGCCTCCGGTAACCTCACTCACACGGCGAAACACAACGCAGTGGTTATTTCACGCCGGTTTTCTGTGAGGCCGTGGTATCACTTCGGTCGAGCTGACCCATTTCTCAATTCCAGAATGTATGGAGTACGTGATAGACTCGCCATACTCCTGCCGGCTTTGGGGAGGGGTGCAGAGGTACCTGGTGGAGGAGAAAGAGTGCTACGGGTACACTCCGACGGTAGTCCTCGCTGCTGCCGGGGGCATCGATGCTGAGAGAGGGCAGTACCCTCATATGGTGAGTCTTGAGGAAGAGGTAGTCAAGGAAATGGCTGGAAACTAGCCAAAAATAACCCGACGCCCCTTTTTCATTGTATTTACTGATAGTTCTAAGTGACGTGATGGAAGAAGGCATACTAGCTACTCTCTCACGGTTTCACCAGCCGCTCGGCTTCATTTAAACGTAGCGTGATTTTTATAGCGTATAGCACTCAGGAACATTGTAGCTATCTATCAGTGGAAGAATTTTGGCAATCCGACCAGCGGTTCCAAAGATTACCCCCTACATACTAACTTACAAATTTTACCTCTTTATAATATTAGTTTATATAGCGAGATGTGCAATTTGTGCAATAACAAATTAACTGAGGAAAACTCGACTAGTTTCGAGTCAGAGCGGGACTCTTAAGTAATCATGAGCAGTCGGCTGCCTGTTGATTTGATTTTACCATTTTGTTTAAAGAAATATTTGTATTTAAGATTTAGGGAACAGAGAGTATAGTCTCCTAAGATCGGAAAAGGAAGATCCTCCGATCAGCCTGGCGGGCTGCTGCCCAAGTGACGTTAACGAATGCTTACGTTAGTTCTGACAGTTTGAGTACTTGCGCGACCTACCTAAATGTTCTTTTGATCGGTATTGTTCGTCGGACAACTCAAAACCGTGTGAGAGTAGCTATTTTGATATGTTTGTATATTGAACACCCCTCTCCTAATTCCAGGCGCTGTTGGGTTATGGCGAGGATCCTGAGTCTGCTGATTGGCTGTGTGGGGGTACCCTCATCAGTCACCGGTACATCCTTACTGCTGCGCATTGTTTGTCCAGTCGTGCTGTGTAAGTGCTTAGGTCTCTTTTATGGAAATATGTAATAAACAAAAAATTTCGTGGTGACCAAATCTAAGTGCGGAACTAAATGTGGGAGAGCCAAGCTTCGGCACGAATGGGCCGTTTCGACCGGAGTGATACCATGGCCTCAAAGAAAACCAGTGTGAAATAAATACAGAATTATGTTTCACCGTGTAAATGAGATAAGCGGAGGCCCAACCCCTAATTTCTTTGAAATTACGAGTGCCTTTTTCTTATGAGGTCCGCAAACAAGCAGACGGATTACCTGATGGTAAGCAATCAGCGCCGCCAATGGACACTCGCAACAGGAGTCACTCACACGGTGAACCACAACACACGGTTGTTTCACGCCGGTATTCTGTGAGGCCGTGGTATCACTCCGGTTTGGCCGACCCATTCGTGCTGAAGCCTGGCTCTCCCACACTTGTCACTTCCCACACGTCTATGAGCGGGGTCGGTTGCTTAACATCAGGTAATCCGTGCTCGTTTAACGACCTACGCCATAAGGACACATGGGTCACCTGATGGTAAGTCTTCTCTCTCTCTTCTCTTCTAACTCCAAAAGTGTGGTCTTTTCGTGTTTAGGGATTTGAGGATTGGGGATTTGGTGATGGGAGGGAGAAAGGGCCTGCTGTATCCTCACGCACACAGCGGAAAAAAAAGCACATTTAACCAGCTTCATGCCGGTTTCTCGTAAGGCCGTGGTATCACTCCAGTCGAGCCGGAGTATCCGTACCGAAGCATGGCTTTCACACACTTTAACTTTTTTAAAGAGTTCTTTTCAATTTTCAGCGGTCCTGTAAAGTTCATAGCCCTGGGTCTTCTAAAGAGATCAGACCCCATGGAGACATGGCAGATTTACAACGTACAAGCAGCTATACCACATCCGGAGTTCAAACCGCCTTCGAAATACCACGATATAGCACTTTTGGTTTCTGACAAATGGTAAAATGTCTTTGATAATTATTATTTAATTCTAGTTAAATATATGTATAAGTAATTATTGTTAGAAATACTAAAGCCGACATATAGTAAAATTCGATCGATTATTGATCGAGTGTGTTCGACAAGTTTCGAGCGGTACCTCGGCTCATAGTCATGCAATTACTGTGATTACTGCCTCACAGAAAAGAGGCGTGAAACAACCCGGCTTTGTATTTCGCCGTATAAGTGAGGTTCATCATCATCAGCCTATTAGTACCCACTGCTGAGCAAAGGCCTCTTCTCATACGGAGAAGGTTAGAGCATTAATCACCACGCTTGCTCAATGCGGGTTGGCGATCTCTAACTTATAATTAGTTTCCTCAGTCCAGGTTTCCTCACCCTCATGCATGAGAAGCGGGTGCCTTATCCTCCGGGCCACCACGATATCCAAACATCCAAAGTGAGGTTACCGGAGGTCAAATCCTTCACAAAAAAAAAACACTAATCCCCAAAAGGTCGGCAACGCACTGTAACTCTTCTGTTGTTACGGGTGTCCATTTGCGGCGCTGATTGCTTACCATCAGATAATCCGTCTGCTCGTTTGCCGACTTATGACACAAAAAAATTAATCAGGCGGGCCGCCATGTTTATTGATGTTATGAAATGATAATATAAAAATATTAAGAACTTTTCTTAACGTTTATTTACACACAACTGGCAAAGTAAAGGAAACCCTGGACTAATAATTACTGATTTTATGTTAAAAATCGCAAATCGGCCTTGAGCTAACGTGTTGATTAATGCTCAAACCTTCTCCGTGTGAGAAGAGGCCTTTGCATAGTAATTAGAAGGTTATTTATAATTATAGCGATCTTAATATTGTATTCTAAAACACTTCCTTACAGGATACCATTCAGTCCTGTTGTTTTACCAGCGTGCCTCTCGACAGGAGGCGCGCAAGACCAGGCCCACGCAACTGGGTGGGGAGCCACTGGACATCGAGAAGCTCTTGCAGATACGTTGCAATCTGTAAGTCCAGAATATATTGTGAATATAATTGTGTGTGGGATGCCTTCATCATCGTTAAAGTCGTTCCCCCAAGGATTGGGGATCGTGAGCATCATTAGTCTCCGTCAGCATTGAGGTTGGGCCGGGATAATTTCCTCCAGTTGCTCCTATCAGCAGCAGTGTGTATAGTTTCGTGCAGGGATGCCATGCTTTAGGATAAAAGAACCAGCTCGTGCGGAGTAATACCACGGCCAAAGGGCCTACCAGGGCAGAAAGAGCTATAAAAGGTGTATAGCTCCGTCCCTCTTTCTCGCCCGAAAGATTCACGTTTTAACACTTCATGGTAGGCCTACTGATAGTGAAACCATCGCGAAACAGATACAACCATTGCCTTGTTTTTGTGAGGTATGTTTTTCTTTAATTTCGGAATGAACAGACATTTGGCCAGTATCACGCCAGGTGGTAAATAATAATGTGACCTACGAAGGAGCAACCTATTTACTCGGGCCTTGAAGACGCCCAGGTATACCCTTCGAGGAACACAGACTCCGGCAAAGAATTACACTTCTCAGCGGTTCGGATTATATAAAACTGGAGGCGCTTTGAGCGTGTATGTTGGATATCCACCATAAAGCCAAGGACCAATTCCGAAATCTGCCAAACTTCGGGACGTAATTCTTCGATGTTGCAGCTGATTGCTTAGGTACCACCAGGTGTTCAGTCTGATGAATGTCCGTCGATCTATACCATAAAAAATATCACTTCGACAGACAGAGCTGTATATGAAACTGCAACTTTATAACGAACTAGCTACTCTCGCGCGGTGTCAGCCGCTGCTCGGCTTCATTTAATCGTAGCGTGATGTTTAATAGCCTGTGGCACTCAGGAACATTGTAGCTATCTATCAGTGGAAGAATTTTGGCAATCCGACCAGCGGTTCCAAAGAGTATCCCCTACATACAAACTTATAAACTTAAAAATGTTACTTCTTTATAATATTAGTATAGAACTATAGATGTCCCACCCAAACGTGCGAAGTGATTCACTCCAAGCTTTTCGTTAAAAACTGTTACAAAGCAAATAAAATTATGTATGAAATATTTGCGATCAAACAAAAGAATATTGAAAACCTTTGATCATCATCAGCCCATAAGTGTCCACTGCTGAGCAAAGGCCTCTTTTTTGACACGGAAAAGGTTTGAGCATTAACCACCACGCTTGCTCAATGCGGGTTGGAGATTTCAAACTTATAATTAGAAATAATAAGTCTATATAATATGTTTACCTTCACCGTATGTCAGCGGTGTCTAAATAATCATAGAAAGTACATATAACTCGGAAAAGTCACCCCTCATGCACAAGAAGTGGGCTCCTTAACCTCCGGGTCACCACGACTTTGAAAAAACCTTACTACTTCATTTTATTTTTCGCTTACCTATTTGAAAACGGTTTCCAGGTGACTCTAACAGCCTACGCTGAGGAGGAGTGCATGGGATTCTTCCCCCCTCATCGACAGCTGGAGAAAGGATATGATCACAAGACACAAATGTGTTATGGGGCCAGGGATCAGATCAACGATACTTGTGAGGTAAGCAAGCCAGTAGAAAGGACGGAAGGAGGCGGTTTTTTTGTGAGGGGAAAATCATCAAAGGACTTCTCCCGCCCAGGGCTGGGCGGGAGGGAGTGTCAGACTCTTACTGACTAAAAACCCCCCTGTTCCTTCTCCTGCTCTGGGCCGAGGTCGCGGTGCCTCATTGAGCTTACCCCGCAACCCCGGCTGAACATCAGCCCTATAGGGCCCCGTCTGTAGTGGTCTATTGGCTCTTTGAAGCGCGCGCGGAACTCTACGCGCCGTACGCTCGGGCCTGCAGGAAGGGGGCGGTAGAGTATAAGAACAGAATATTGCCACATCTACATATATAAAAATCAATGCCACTTTTCGTTGTAATGTTAAAACTACTTTCTTTTCTTTTTTTTAAAAGACATTGCTCCTCATTAGGATTTTCTCCTGTGTCGTGGGTGCGGTTACTAACATACAATTTCACATGCACATGACACCCAGACCCGGAACAACAATTTGTGGATCACACAAAGAGTTGTTCCGTGCGGATCAAACTCGCGACACGGCGTGGCACGGCAGCCAGCCACCGCACCAACCGTGCAGTCAACTGTTTTTTCACCAACAGTACGTTTACCGATTTGTCTGACTCTGGTCTTGAATTATTCGTGGAAGTCCAGAAAAGATTTAATAGGTTCGAAAACAAATAGTTATAAGTACTTGAAGGCATTTGGAGTTCGCCAGGTCAGCTAGTTTATTTATAAGAATTTAAAGTGTGGACGAGCCATGCTTCCACGAATGGGTCAGCTCGACCGGAGTGATACCACGGCCTCACAGAAAACCGGCGTGAAACAACCACAGCGTTGTGTTTCGCCGTGTGAGTGAGGTTACCGGAGGCCCAATCCTTCCCCTCCCCCAATCCCTAAATCTCCAAATAAAGGTCGGCAACACACTCGTAACTCCTCCGTTGCGGGTGTCCATGGGCGGCGCTGATTGCTTACCATCAGGTAATCCGTCAGCTCGTTTGCCGACAAATTACATAAAAAAAAAACAAAAAAAAAAATGGAAAGCAGCGATCTCTGATAACCCTGAACCTTTGAGATTACAGCTTCTATCAGGCCTCGATTATAGCAAAAATCTTTTAATTTGAGGATGTCTCTTTAGACCAGGACTGCTAGTGGGCACTGCTAGGCTACTCCAGCAGTGGAGATATCCATAGGAGTATATGGATATATCCATAGGAGTACATCTGAATAGGTTTTATAGAGTAGAACAGTTGTAAAAAAATTGCTAAACATGACCTGGTTTCTTTTGAAGTATTTCGTTGCGGGATCCAAGACAGTCATTCATGTCCCTGGGACGCGCCGGACTTCAGTGTTCCGGTGTTTTCATGGTTGTATCTACTGTAGATCCTGGTGTATTGTAGTTGATATAGTTTTGGACAGTTGGGGTTGGTTTTTTCCAAAAACTAACCTGCGACTGGAGCGATACCACGGCCTCTCAGAAATCTGAACCACAGAGATTACCGGAGGCCCAATCTTTTCCCTCCTCCAATCCCTAATCCCCAAAATGTCGCCGACGCACTTTTACCTCATCTGTTGTTGTGGGTCTCCATGGACAGCGCTGATTGCTTACCACCAGACTCGATTTCCGCCCTATACCTTAAAAAAATTTGAACATACCGAACATTTATGTTTTTTCGCAGGGTGATAGTGGGGGTCCACTGCAAGTTCGCTCAGAGATCTCTTCCTGTGTCCACACTGTCATAGGAGTCACCTCACATGGGAAACCATGTGGCTTCGCAGGAGGTTCTGGAGTCTACACAAGGGTTGAATACTACGTACCATGGATCGAAAGTATCGTGTGGCCTTGAAGCAGCGGCGGGGCAAGACCTAAATTTGATGTGGGCAAGACAGATTTCGCGAGGCCCTGTTCTATGGCGACCCAAAGACGGATTTTATAAAATAATAAAAACAAACAAAACAATTAACACTGCCAAGTTTTTATGCAGAAAAATACAAATTAGGTTAATAAGTATTAATGAAAAATTACAAATCGTAAATATAAAGGTGGAGTAATAATATACATAATATACATTTCTTAGCGTAAGTATACTTAAAATTAATTAGTGTTCTTTATTAAAGGAACAGAAATTTCCTGCTTTTAACTTTACTAAATTCCTTAATTATGGTATCGTAATTCAGCCTAGATGCCAAGTCTGATTCAATTGATAAAACGGCCAAAGCTAAAAGTCTTTCTTGGTTCATTGTGTTTCTCAAATATTTTTTTATTAATTTTAATTTAGAAAAACTTCTTTCAGCAGAGGCTGTACTTACCGGAATTGTTAATAAAATTCGGATGACAATGTAAATATTTGGGTAAATTTCTTTTAAGTTATTTTCTGTTATGTATGACAGCAGCTGTTTCACGTCTTTAAAGAAGTTGGGTAAATTCAGGATCATTGTATTTAATTCTTCATATAATTCAAATGGTTGGAAATCACTGCCCTCACCCACACGCAGGACGTTATGTAAATCGTTACAGTGTTTTAATATTTGCTCCTGCGGCATATTTTTTAGCGCGCTTAAATCATAGAAAACCAAATTCTTCAAAATGTTGATTTAAAGACGTAAATCTTAATTCCATATTGGTTATTATAGAATCAATCATGGCGTAAAAAAAATCCAGTTTGATACGTTTGAGACTGTATAGGTTGATCGCTGCTTTCATAATCGAAAATCCTTTTCAGTTTCCCGATACTCTTTTATCCATTCACAAAATGTGTGTAAATGTTATGTAATAAAAAAACAAGACGGCTTTTAAATTATGGCAGTAACGAAAACGATTGTTTTCCTTAAACTACTGATATAAACCTTACGTGACAGTTATTTTTCAGTAAATAGAAATGTATGAATTAAGATTAAAAAAATACTAAGACTAATAACTGTTTGAGAGAGAAATATTTTGATTAATAACAGTTTTCTTTACTAACATTAATAAAAAAGAAATTAATTTTTCTTAGTGACTGTACATGCGCGACCGTTAGAAAGAGCTAACTTCAGGCCGGTCAGGTAAAATCGCGCGTCATGTACATTTCTATTGTTATGCGCCTTGCGTACTTTGATTTGATTGGTTGTCTTCCTAGTAAAGAAAGTAAACAAAATAAAACCAGGGATTCCCCGCACGTTTTTTATTTATTTATTAAGGCATTGGAACTCTGGTTGGTCGGCGGCAAATGTTTCTAGCCTAAGAAAACATGTTTCACAACAGTTCTCTCCTAAAAATTATAACAGTTCATAATTGTCGATTAGGTATTTCAACAAGGAAAATAAATTTTTGAGCTCGATAAGCTCAAAAATGACGCATTAGATAAAATTTAAGCGCTTAGCGGGAAGTTGCAAGGATAGCCTGTAGGTGAACTGTTTTCCAATTTTTATTTTATATTTTTTTTCGCTTTAAAAAATTTCGAGGCGCGAGGCCCCTTGTACCGCGAGGCCGTAGGCGGTGGCCCACGTCGCCCACGCCTTACGCCGCCTCTGCCTTGAAGATTTGAAAACCAGAACTGGATGGATGAAGATCGTGGTTATATATAAGGAAGATTTTTTTTAAAGTTGTAGAAACATTGCCCACACATGGATTTTAGCCTGCGTCGTGGGTGCGTTTACAAACATACAAATTCACATAAACATCACACTCAGACTCGAAACAATAATTTGTGGATCACACAAAGTGTTGTTCCGTGCGGGATCAAACCCGCGATAAGTTGCACAACAGCCAGTTGCCCAGCTACTGCGCCAACCGTGCAGTCAGATTCTTAGTTGACAGCAGGGAGGCAGAATTTTAATTCGATTCCACATTTGACATTGAATACTGTCATTTTGTGAAATAATGATACCACATTATAATGGTGTAGTGATGAACACAAAAATCGATAAAGAATCGCTTTGGTTTTTTGCTTTAGTCTGAGATTTTTGAAAGTAAAGTGAACTTGTGATGCTTGGAGATACGCTGGTCCTGCTCCATAGGATACCTACCTACACGAAAATAAATAATATTCCAGTGGATCTTTGCTTGAACTTTTTAGTGTTTAGTAAAATTGTAACCATGCCATTTTTATTGTCAAACTTGATAAATTTGTAAATGTGAGTGCCCATTACAATTAGTTAAACTAGCAGAATGTCGAATTAACAGATTAGTCTTATAAAATAAAACAGATTTATCTGTTTTTTTTATTTATTTTACACACAATTAAAAAAAGTAAGTCTCAGATTGTTAATTAATTGTCAGAACTAAATTATCACTTCTGAAATATTTAATTTCCTGATATACTTTGTTTACGAGAGTAAAATTATAAACGAGAGGAATCGATCCGAAAATATTCGATTTCCATATCGAATAATTTCGCAACGTCACTATTTAATACGTGTCATAACGTTGCAACACTGAAATTTTCAAATTTGGAATGGAATTAAAATTCCGAGTATAAGAAGCTCCGTAACCGAAACTATCGGATATCCTATAAAAAAATATCCGTAACCGAAACCGAATCTGAAATAAAAGTTTCGGATAATATCGGATAGGGGCGGAGCCTAATTGAGACACGTTATGTTTGTATTTTACTTTTGAAGTTACTTAAAATTTTGATATCCGTACCGATATAATCCGAAACTAACGAATACCTAATCCGAGAATTTCATATCCATAATCGTATCCAGTGTAATAAATCATTACTATAACCATTTCCTATTTTAGTTTCTGCACCGATTGGCGTCAGATTTTAGTTGTCGGCCATCGCTGAAAATCAGCGCTGCGACACTGTCTCGCTTAGTGTCGCTGCATATGCTGGGCGAGGGCCATTTCGCGTGCTTGTGACGCACATTTTTAATTATAATAGGTCTTTACCTATGAAATTGCCGTTCTGCAGTACTGGCCATTTCAAATCAAAATAGTTTTTATTATGCTAAGGCTAATTAATTTTGTTTTAAAAACATGGGATTCTTTTTCCAAAAGTAATAATAATAATAATAATATTCTTTATTGTACACCACTAGGACAAGAACATAAAAAATATATAAAAACAAACAAACATGAGTACAAAAGGCGGTCTTATCGCTAAAAAGCAATCTCTTCCAGACAACCTTTGGATGGAATCAAACTATAGAAGAGGTTGGAACGGGGCAGTTAATGGCATACATTGAGATAAATACATATACATGCATAATATGAGAACATAAAATATAAAGAACAAAAATGATAAATAAATAAAATTGATAGTGATTAGAAAGTATAGGTACAGTGTGATGACAGGATTAACAAGCCAAGTAGTGGTCCTTCACCATTCTTTTAAATTCGGCAAGTGACTGAGCACGTCTAATAGTGACTGGCAGTGCATTCCATAGACGTGTAGCTTGCACCGTAAAGGACTTGTCATAAAAAGTTGACGAGTGCATTGGCATTTTTAATTTTAAGTTTTCCGATGACCTAAGAGATTTTAAGTGAGTATCACTAACAAACTCAAAACGATTTTTGAGATAAAAGGGGGTGGTAGGGTGGAAAAGAATATTGTAAAGCAGGGATAGTATATGAGCATTCCGACGAAGCCTTATTGGAAGCCACTTGAGTTTGATACGAAATTCTGAAACATGATCATACTTGCGCAAACCAAATATGAATCTTATACAGACATTCTGAAGACGTTCAAGTTTATTCAGCTGGTCCTCTGTAAGATCAAGATAGCTGACATCAGCATAGTCAAGAACAGGAAGAAGAAGAGATTGTGCAAGCGCAATTTTTGTGGCAGTGGGCAGGAAGTTCCGCAACCGTCTCAAAGATCGCGCAGATGCAAATAACCGTTTACTGGTTTCCTGCATCTGCGGTTCCCAAGACATTCTACTGTCCATATATATCCCAAGGTTTTTCACTTTATGGACAAAGGGTATCTGGGTTCCGTCGAAAACAACATGTGGAAGGTGGAACCAGTCTATTTTCGAGACCATTCGTGAGCTACCTATGATGATAAGCTGAGTCTTTAAAGGGTTTCAAGTAGTCATTTGTTTATTAATTAGTGTTACATTTTTATCGCATTTCAAATCAAAAATTCGTTTAAATTTTTTCATGTAAAACGGCAATTTCATAGGTAATGACCTAATATTAAGTACTCTTTTTTATATTATATAACTGTCACCGGAAAATAACAAGATCCGTAAGTTTATCATTTTACTAGGAAGTTTATAAACTTTCGTAAGATTCTAAACGGGAGATAAATTGTAATATTTTACGTCTACATTTTCATAAATTTATCAATTTCCGACGTCATACGGTACATTTATAAACTAACGAATATCTATTCGTATGATTTTACATGGTTCGACCAATCACAGAAACTCTTATATATACGATCTTTAAAATACGTCAAATAACACACTGCTCTCTGATTGGTCAATGTTCATAGTGGCAATGCTTGTGTCCATAGACTTTGGAATAATCAAACTTGACAAACTATAAATTGGAAGCAACAATGCCTGGTTCCTCTCTGGCACGGATGTAGTAAGTTGAGTTTTCTATTATCAGTTTCAATAGCAAACCGGTTTGTTTATGTTCCGTGGCCAGCAATAGCGGCCGCGAGGAAGGAGAAGTGACACGTGACAGCCAACCAATCAGATTGCGCGTAGCGTTTGCTTACTGCTTACTTATTATTTTACGAGTGGGTGCAGTAAGTTTATCAATTTACGAAAATGTGGACGTAAAATATTACAATTTATCTCCCGTTTAGAATCTTACGAAAGTTTATAAACTTTCTAGTAAAATGATAAACTTACGGATCTTGTTATTTTCCGGTGACATAACCATGTTTTTTTTTTGTTTTTGTGTTTA